GAACTCTATCTGCTAATTGGTCCATATCCCTTAGGTATTGGGTATTCAATTTCTTCTTAATGAAAAGGTCTAAGCCCCCAGCATCCATTCCGACTAATTCATGTTCAGACACTTAGTAAAAATAATTTGATTTTAATATTCGGAACCTATTTAGGTAATCACCAATCGACTTAGTAAACTTTCATTTTACACTAGACAATTATTTCAGGCTAATCTTGGATTTCTCCATATAGAACTGCTCATGAAACAATTTTTCTAAGCGAGTCCAATCATGTATGGAATATACAGGGAATGTGGTAAACCATGTAAAATCACTTTTGGTTAGAGAACTAGGGAAATATCTCATTCTCAAATTCTCATTGTTGGAAATAACTCCTGCTTCAGTCAAATATCGAGCGATGTGTTTGATTGTAGATTCACTAGCGTTGCTAGCAAATTTGGTAAAATTATGGACTTTTCAGACCCTTGGGAATTCCATATATAACACATACTCTGATAATGGAGATGAATATTTAGGCCTCAGAAGGCCAACATTCATGCCATTTCGTGTTATTATCCTTTCGACAATGGCTTCTAAATTATTTTCCCCCTTCAGGCCATCTTGTTGAACTTGACAGACCACTTGGTCTGCGTCCTAATTTTGATTAACTATAATGACTTGTGGGTGTTCTACCTCCCCGGGTACCGGTTGTTTGACCACTTGGGGCACATATTATTGGCCCTGGTTAACAGTTTCCTCAAGGATAACTCCCTCATTTTGGACGAACCTAATTGGTTAAGGTTGTACAACTAGTCAAACTTGTGCTCGACGGGCACCAAGGAAATAAAAAATTTAAGTAATCTAATTCGCCATTTTTTGGTAACTTTGATTCGAATTTTGAATTATATGGTTAAGTATAATATCCATTTATTGAGTAAGTAAATTATCCATCTCATAGTTACTTTCATCCATCTGTTGCCTCATCACATTTACATAATTAGTGGGGAAAGTTAGCATTGTCTGGGAAGAAAATCCCATTCCCAGTGGTTGGGCATTTCAACTAGAGTTATTTATGGCTGATCCTGATCCCTAAAAGGGTGAAAATGCAAATGTTGTATTGTTAGAAAATGTCGATGCATTGGTATGCAAGCCTGCCATCATCGATGTTGGCATGCCAGAAGGTTGTTAACGACCATTCATGGGCATTGTGAAACTTGGCATATAAGGCTCATAAGCACTAGTCGTAGTCGGTCTAGGAGTTATAGGGTGACCCTGAGTTATTCATGGGGGCGATATCACCCTATTTGGTGCAGTCGATGGCATAACAATCGTTCTCTTTGTATATGCAGTTGCTTCAGTCAAATTCACAACGATTGTGCGTTCCCCCGTTGTATTAGAGGGTTGTTATCCATTTGGATTATTATTTCTGGGATTAAAAATTCTCCTATTGTATCTTCTAATTGGCCTTTTAAAACTCTCTTTGGTTATCCTACCAGACCTCAATCTCATGCACACAGTTTTTGAAAAGTTTTATGTATGAAGAACATGCAAATTTAGAAAAAATATAAACTTTTTCACAAACAGTCCCACCAGGTGTGCCAATTTGTTTACTTGGAAATTTGGTAAACAAAATAAGTTTGATTCACTTAAGGGATTAAACTCGAAAGTATCCCGTATATATTGTGCAAACGTTCAAATGTTTGAAATTGCTTGACATCAACATTTTGAAACATGCAATGGTTTGTAAAAGAACTTGATATGTAGTAAAATGACTTGAATGTAAAGAACTTCAAATGCAGTAAAGTAAATTTGAATGCAATAAAAGAATTGAAAATTAAATAACTGATTTTATAAAATGGAACGTAATATATACATTTTTTGCACTCGTTTCTCTTAACACTTGGTACTTTGAGTATTTAGAATTTGTGTGTACAACTGCGGATCCTAAAACTATAAACAACTACTACTTATATACAACCTAAAATAATCGTCTCTAATGGTCGAAGCAGCAAAACATGCCATGTTTCCTAATTCCATGCAATCTTCGTCTTCATACGCTTTATATGTGTTGTCGAGTAACCACATGATCTTATCCACTTTTGAATCTCTTCAACTGAACTGATAAATGTTTTGATGAATATTTGGAATTTCACAACGTCCCAAACATATCTTTTGTCCTCATTGAAGAACCTTCGACTATAAGTAATATTGTTCTTCGATAGGACAACTGCCACTCAGCCTAAAATCTTATGGTCAAGCTGGGACCATTTTGACATGAAGCTAACAATTCCTCAATATCTTACTTACTTTAAACCTTGAGATTTATGTTAAAAATATAAGGTAACAGATGGTCAGATTGATCGTTTCAAAGCCTGTTTGGTAGCCAAATTATACACACAGATATTTGGTTTTGATTATGGTGACATGTTTTCTCTGGTGGCCAAGGTCAGTTCAGTTTGCCTCTTTCTTGCATTAGTTGCCATTCATCATTGGTTGTTCCATTAGTTGGACATTAAAAATGTCTTTTTACATAGAGAATTAGAGGAGGAAGTTTATATGGATCAACCTTCAAGTTTTAATGTTCCTAGAAATTCTAAATTTGTTTGTTAGCTTTGTCGTTATCTTTATGGGCTAAAACAATCCCCGCGTGCTTGGTTTAGTCACTTCAGTTTTGCCTTGATATAGTTTGATATGACTAGATATGAAGTAGGTCACTGTATTTTCTTCATTCCTCCATCGGTCGATGCATCTTTCTTGTGGTCTATGTTAATCACATTGTTATCACTGGAGACAATACAAAGGGTATACAGTGTCTTAAAACTCGTCTTTTCAAAAATTCAGATAAAACACTAAGGTCTACTCAAATACTTCTTAGGTATTAAAGTTGTCTAATCCTCATCAGACATTGCAATCAACCAATGCAAGTATGCATTAGACATCCTTGGTGAAACGGACATGCTTGATTGTCTTCCTATTGACATTCATATGGATCCCACTGTCAAACTTCTTCCAGGTCAGAGGGAGCCATTGAAATATCTGAGAAGATATCTAAAACTTGTGGGTAGACTCAACTATCTTATAGTCATCAGACGAGATATTACATTTGTGATGAGCATTTTGAGACAATTTTGAACGCTCCTTGTGATAGTCTTTGGGATGCATCCATTCAATTTCTTAGATATATAAAGAACGCACCAAGAAGATGACTATTAAATGAAGATAAGGGTGATGCTAAAATCATTGGTTATTCAGATGCAGACTGGGCCAGATCACCTTCGAATATGAGATTCACTTATGGATATTGTGTTCTTTTAGGAGGTAATATGATCTCATGAAGAAGCAAGAAATAAAATACAGTTGTATTATCTAATGTTGAAGTTGAATATCGTGTTATGGTAGCAACCACAAATGAGCTTGCATGACTTTAAAATTTACTCTCAGAGCTTAGATTGAGAGATTTTCAGGCCACAAAACTCATATTCGACAATCAAGGTACACTCAACATTGCATCGAATCCGATTTTCCATAAAGTGATCAAACACATAGAAATAGACTGTCATTATGTAAGGGTCAAGGTACTTTCAGGAGAAATTAGAGTTCGTCAAATCTAAAGAACAATTGATTGTGTTCACTAAGTCTTTTAGAGGTTCTCGAATGGATTACATATGTAACAATTTTCTACTCACGTGACATATATGATCCAGCTTGAAGGGAAGAATTAAGAATCAATATTTGTATATAGAATATTCCTTATCATATCTAGAATTAAATAGAATATATTGTAGGATATTTCTTATGTAATTAATTCAATAAGCAGTAAATCTCACTATATAATACTGCATTTGTTCATTTATATAAGAGACAATTCATTTTTTATGTTCATTGAATAACTAATGTATTTGGTCGATTTATAGACTAGATACATTAATTATTCAATGAATCTAAAAAATGAGTTATCTCTTGTAAAAAGGAATAAAGCTAGTATAATCTTCGTAATACTATTTAAATATATGTTTTTTATTCAAATATCTCTCATTCTTTCTTATTTCTTATTTTAATAGGAGATGTTTGTTCTAGTTTTAAAAAAATAGATTTTTTTCTTTGCATTTTGAAAAATAAATTTTATAAAACCGTTTTTTAAAATATTACAAAAAATTTATATTCGTTTTTTTTTAATTGAATAATTAATTTTGACATCCAATAACATAATCATATATTATTGAAGATCAAAACATAATCAAAATCGTATTTTTTTAAAAAGTTGTTTTTCAAAAATAAAATTTATGAACATCAATTTGAAATATAGCTTTAAAATTAAGTGATTTTTTTTTTGAAATTTTAATATCTAAAATCTTTTTTAATAAAATAATAAAATATCTAAAATAATATTTTAAATATAACTATTCAAACTAAATTTTTATAAAAAATTTATTTATAAAATTTTTTAGTCAAAATTATTTTATACTATAAAAATCTTTTTTAAAAAAAGGAAAACAAACTGCCCATAATTCAAAATTTCAAATCAAGCCACCCGAATACTGCAATTATTTCAATGTTTAGCATATGGACTTTCAATTTTTAGGGATATAATTAGTCTTAGTTTTTTTTTCTCTCTCAAAAAACTTTGCAACTATTTTTACAAACTCTAAATATATAAAAGAGTGGTATATTGGTATATATTCCAAGTCTTTGACCCAATGCATCAAATTTCACTACAATATTTTATCATCTGAGTGGTGACAATAATTGGTTGTATTTTATATAGACAGATGAAGTATAACTAATAGTTTAAATAGTATTTTATTGTGTTTTTTTATTTTCATCCTTATATTTTTTTATTTAAATAAAGTCTTTAAATATTAAATTTTATTTGGCTTTAATTTTTAAAATGAAAATTTACAGGAAAATCTGAATGTTTTTTACAGATTTATTTTCGAATTTTCTTGTAGATTTTGATTTTAAGGACAAAAACCAAAACCATTTTAACGCGCCAAATTACAAAAATAAAAAAAAAAACTTTTTATACCATAACATATCTCTCTCGTTCCTCCCCAACATATAGTGCAAAAACAGCACGTTTTTTGGACTCAATATTTTTGCCAATTGGGTGTTTTTCTTCATCTTCTTCTTCAAATTCCTTCAACAACCCGTATTGAGCAAGGTCAGAGTCAACTCTACCTACAAGCTTCACCTTTTTGGCTAGTTTCTTGATTGATACTATCTTTTTTCCTATCATCTTGTTGATTTTCAATCAAAACAACTTCAAAGGAATATAAATGAAGAGTGTGTTGTATAGAGGAATTGACTCGTATTGAGCAAGGTGAAGTGGTAATTGACTATTATTGTAGGCTTTGTTGTTTTTCAGCAACACTTGTTCACTATCTTAATCACGTGATTTCTCAAAGAAATTTTTGTTTGGAGTTATGTGTCAAGTACAACTTGTACTTATATCCATAATCTATTCTTTATGAAAATTTCTGCTCGAAACCACAATCATTTCCTGCTTGACTATTATTGTGAAAGGTGAAGTGATAATGACTTGTAGCATTATCTTTGGGTAAGATAACAATAGAACGACAAACAAAAATTGAAGAATCACTTTCTTTGTTCTCTGAATACATGACTAGAGTGTTATTTAATTTATTTCAAGTGTACAATTAAACATTAATTTCACTTTTAATAACAACTAGGACTTTGACTGCTAGAATACTTCTAGAGTACTTCTTTCTTTTTGGTGATAAAGAAAACTCACATATGAGTATCTTCAAAGAGACAAAGAAAGTTATTCCATGTTATATATATTGGCAACATCCGTAACATGTGGCTCACTTTAAAAATCTATAAACATATTGGCAATAACAATGTAGTAGGTGAGGGTTTCATTTTAACGTCATATTTGTTAACCGGAAGAATTCGGAATCACCCAATTTTGGTGGCTAAAAAAAGCACAAGTGCCAATTAAATGGCACAAATCATTTGGTTGGTTAAGCTCTAAAATTCTCTATTGTATAGTAGTGTTTCGTTCAATTTTGGGTTTCAAGTGTAAAAGTGTTAAAGTCTTATATCGATTAAAAATGAAGATAATGTATGATTTATAAAAGAGGTGATTCATATCCTCATTGCCTTAAAGTTTTGGGTGGATATGAGGTGTCAAGATCTCTTGAATCTTGGACACTTACCTCATTGACACTTATGACGCTCTCCGAAGTCTCCAACAAGTGGCGTCCATCGTGAAACAAAGAGGTATTATTTACAGGTTAGCACCATGGTAAAATGGGAGATCACAACTTTTTTTTGGAGATAACGATTTCAAATTGTGGAAAGTGAAGACGCAAGTAATTTTAACTCAAGAGAAGTGTATTTAAGCTTTGAAGGGACATGCATTGGTGCCTGCAAGGCTTACACCAGCAGAGTTGTGTCTGAAACAACAGCTATACTCATTCTGAATGGTGGAGAACAAATCTATAGCGGAGCAGCTAGCATAATTTCACAAGATTATTTATGATCTTGAGAATATTGAAGTGAAAATTATTGATGAGGACAAGACTCGACTCTTGTTGAGTTCATTACACAGACCCTTTGAGCACTTTAAGGATACCCTTCTTTATGGTACGAAAGGTACTACTACTTTGGATGAAGTCCAGACGATAGTGAAATCCAAAAAAATTTCAAAGGCAAAATATTTGAAGATTGAAGATAGTGGTGAAGGCTTAAGTGTGCTAATAGGAGGAGGTGAGCGTAGAGGAATGTCCAAATCAAAGGTAAAATGTTTTAATTGTCAAAAAATCAGTCACTTTAAGAAGGATTTTTCAAAGAGAAAGGTCAATGATGATTTTGTTCAAGTTGTATTATAGTTGCCTTAGATGGGGATGATTATGTTACTGCTGAAGTACTAGTGCTATCGAGTTTGGAGACTAAAAATAGTTGGATCATAGACTCAGGTTCCTCTTATCACATGTGTCCAAGAATAGAATACTTTTAGACTTTGAAGCTGGTTCAAGGTGGAGTAGTTCACTTTGGTGATAATAATGCTTACAAGGTTCACAGTATTTGTATGGTCAGACTTAAAATATTTGATGGTCGTGAGTTTCTTCTTGGCAATGTGAGGTATGTTCTAAAACTCAAGCGAAATTTGTTATCCATTAGCATGTTTGATGATCTAGGCTATTGCACTAGAGTTGAACGTATGGTGTTGAAGATTTTGCATGATGAAGTGATTATTGCTAAATGGTCTAAAATAGAGCTGTGAAAAAGGGCTATCCGATCTTAAACGGGTCGGCCCTAGCGAACATCGAGTTTTCTCGCCATGCGCCAAAAAAGAATTGTTGTAATATGGGCTCGAAAATTACTACCTGAACCCGGTCCTAGATGGGTTTCAGACTACCCATACCTAAACGGGATTTTTTAATAAAAAATTAAAATAATAACTCCATAATATTTATTATAAATAAAATTTAAAATTATATTATTTTAAACATAATACATTTTAAGTACTATAATATTTTTTATAAATACTATAATGTGTTTTTAAATATAATATATGTCTAAATTGTATAAATAATATTTGAATATTTAACATAAGAGAAACTAATAGAATACGAGGAAAAAGTGTTGATTATAAATGTATAACATTTAAAAGAGAAAGATTTAATATAATAGATATAAAATTTAGTGAGATGAGAAAAATCAATGTGATATTTTGGAGTAACACAATATAAGTATTAATATAATTTTTTAAAATAATTTATAGCTATGCGGGCCTAATGGGCTACCCACGGTCCATATGGGTTAGCCCTAATGGATAGCGGACTTTTTAGAGTTGGGCTAGAAAATATTTAAAAATATAGGCTCTAATTTTAAGGCCTGAGCCCTATGATATTTTGGGTCTGGCTGGCCGGTCCATATGCGCTAGCCTATTTTGACAACTCTAGTATAAAATGTGTGGTTTATATATTTTAGATGGTTCAAATGTTATTGTTCAGTCATCAATAACTAGTGGAGACTTTCATGACAAAAAAGAGCTATGGGGTTTGAGGTCAAGGCATTATGAATGTTTGGATGCTGTTTCAGAAGTGTATAATGAATTTTGCAGAAAATAAGGGATAAAAATGCATGTGACCACTGAGTTGATATTGAAATTTTAGGGAATGATCGATCTCAAAGAAGCTTACTTGGTTGGTAGAGAATTTTTTCAGAGGAAGTAGGGTAAAAACCAAGGGATAAACCTTTTAGAAACTATAACGGAAAAACTCATTTTGATGTGAAGTTTCCAACTATGGATACTAGTAGTAGTGAAGGAATGATTATTGAGATCTTTGATTGTCATTTGACTCGTGATAAGGTAAGGATGGGATTGTAGCATCTTAAAGGGACGGTTATGCTAGCCTTGGTTGTTATGCTTTAAATGTGGTTGAAGGGTTGCAAAATTCAGAAAGAAGGACCTTTAAAGAAGCATTTAAAAGCAGGTGGAGTCAATGATGGTTGAATAACCATACTTGTGGGCTTGTTAGATTACCTAGGTAGAAAAAGGTGATTGGAAACAAGTGGAGGCAAGTGGTGAGATCAATATTCAAGGATGTCTTGAACTTGATCAAGGTTATTGATTAGAGTTTCAACATGGTAGAGGGAAGCAATGTTATTGATGGTTAAATTGACATCAACATGGTTTCAAGTCATGGTAGAGATTCTTGAAGTATGCCTTAAAACCTTTGTTGATGAAGAGAAAGAAAATTAATTTGGAGATTGCATAAACCAGAAAAGCAAAAATTCCAAAAGTTCAAAAAATACAAATCAGGACAGATTGGGCCAGAAGGTGCCAAAGTCATAGAGGCGGCTGATAGAGCATCTGAAATCGCGTTGATCGGCTAACGGGTCCCATGTCAGTCCGTGCGATTTCAGGATATTTTGAAATATCAACAATTTTATTGATTTGCATGTTTTTGACTTTTTGGTTTGGTCCATGGATTCGTTTTCTAATGAGTTGTGTTTTGGACTTTATTTGTCGGGCTTTGGTTATTATAAATATCTATCTCTTCTATGTTTTCACATAATTATAGATTTTTAGAGCTAAAAACGAGAAATAAGAGTTTAGGGTTTTTCAAGGGTAAACTTAGAAAGGAAAGGGTTTTTGAAAAATCTTTGGAGGTATCTAAGGGGATTGAGAAATACACCTTGGGTTTTGAGTGATTCATATATTGAGAGTTGGAGAGGTTGGGAACCACTTAGGTAGAAAATAGGGGTTTGTTCTTGGGAACTCTGAAGACAAAGGTTGTTTTATTATAACTCTTTTGTAATCTCTTGTAATAACTTTCTGAGTATAGTTAATTAGAGAACTACACTCTCCCCAGACGTAGATCTTTTAATCAAAATGGGTAAACAAATATTTTGCCTTATTTCCTTTTGTTATATTTTTTGCTTATTGGTTATTATTGTTGAAAGCCATTAATTTGGTTGTTATTGTTCTTTGCCCTAAGATATCAAAGTGTTGATTTGAATTGAACCTTGTCATGTGAAATTATGTCAGCGGCTCCATTATGGATTTGTTCTCCATCATTTGAAATGAGTAGAGTTGTTGTTTCAGACACAACTTGTGAGCCAAAGACTTAATCATATACAACGATTCAAGTTTTTCCCACATTGAAGCAGCGGTCTTATCTTTGGCGACTTCCCTTAGAAATTTATCCACGGGGCACAAGATAATGGCACTCATGGCCTTATCCACCATCTCGTTCTTTTTATTCAGGTGTAAGCCTTGCATACATCAATGCATTTCCCTTTAAAGCTTCAATATATTTCTCTTCAGTTAAAATTGCTTGGATCTTCACTTTCCACAACCTAAAATCGTTGTTTTTGTAAAAAATTTCAATTTCCCATTTAGCCATGGTGCTCACTTGTAAACAATACCCCTTTCCCCATGGTGGATTCCACTTATTGGGGACTCCGGGGAGCGTCGAAAGTATCAATGGGCTAAGTTTCCAAGATCCAAGAGATCATGGCGCCTCATGTCCACCAAAAATTTTAAGGCAATGGGGGTATGGGTTACCTATTTTATAAATCCAACATTTCCTCTATTTATAGTCGATATAGAACTTTAGCACTCTCGCACTTAAAACCCAACATTCTAAAATAAAAATGATAGATATCAATATGTGAAGTCGTTTGGAGTGGCAATGAGTGCTTTTTGATGTGGCGAGTGCTTTCTAATGTGGTGGAATGGGGTAGATTTGTAAGTTTAAT